CCAGCCCTGCACCTTGTTGTCCCCAACATACTTCAGCTGCTAAGCTTCCTGATCCCTGAGAAATGCAGCCTCCTGCTGTTAAACCTGCACAATAGGCTAACTCCGTGTCTTCCAGCCTCATTAATACATATAAGTTGGCAATTCCTATAAGATCTAAAAGTAGTTGCTTCTACTTTGGTGATAAATGGCAGTCAACAACTTGCATGCTGTTCCACCAAATGTGGTATATCTTTATAAGACCACTTAGCATTAATACTTACACCATCATCCTTACACCATCATCACTCCTACACCCCACAAGGAGTGGTTGGTTGTCTCCTTTTCCTGCCTTTCTGAAACCCAGAAGCAGGATTGTTGGGGTCAAAGTTCACAATTTTAAAATCTGTATTCTCTACATGCTCCAAGTCCTCCTGTTGATATGGACTAATACTCCCCATTCTGGTTTCTTTGTTTCATCATTTCTCTCTCTGCAAGATAAAAAACAGTATGAAAAATAACCTTCTTGCATCAATTGAAAAGGATCTGTTTTGTTTTTCCTAAAGATGTTCTGTGACCCTTTGCTTTTTAGGCTACTACTGTTCATCAAGGACAACATTTCCATTGCCTTGCCCAGAAGGAACATGTAATGCATTAAATGGGGCCGCCTCTGCTGCTGTATGTCTAAGCTGTCCAGCTGGGCTATATTGTCAGGGCATGGCAAACTCTGAACCAGACGGTGAGTATCACTACCTACTAATAAAATATATTTATCAAGGAATGCTGTTGATTATAAAGGAGCATGAACAAAAATCAGGAGCAATAATAGCCTGGCCCAATGTGATAATATTTTACCTGTGAACACCTTTCAAATTTTACTCAAACCTATTGGTTTCGTAGTTGTTTGTTGAGCTCTTATTGGGTTAATGTACCAGCCTTATCAATGAAACATAAAGCATCACCAGTTCTTGTGAGCTGTGTGATTCTTTCAATAGAGCCCAGCTTTAATACATGCTGAAAATTTAATTGCTCTTAAATTTTTCTGTTGTAGGTCCATGTGTAGGAGGATATTACTGTCAGGGCGGTGCAAGTAGTCCCACACCACAGAGCAATCTAGCATTTCCAATGAATGGTCCTTGTGCTGCAGGTTATTATTGCCCAACAGGCACTAAGTCACCAATTGCATGCCCAAAGGGAACATTTAAGAATATAACTGGTGAGTGAAGAGAATTAGCTTCATTACTATTTGTGGCATAGACATTTTCCATAATTCTACAGTTTGAGGAATAAATCTGAGAGACCTAAATGTATCATGTGATGTGATATTGGCTTCTAAGGGCTCACGCTCCAACTTTCTATTGGTGCCAGTGGTAGCACTTGTTTGAAATTGTACATATGCTGTTGTCACAACAACATTAATAGGAAGAGTGCACTGATAATCACGTCACATTGTACAATAAACCAACAAGTATAAGTGCCTAATTAAACTATCAAGGTGTTCAATTTACCAGCTCGACTACCATTCAGGATAAAAGCAAATGACATCAGGTTTCATCGTTGCCACAAAATTACTCTATTTATTGTGACCCCCTTTAACTTTAACAAATGGCACAGTAAATAAAGAATCCCTAATCCACTGCAATGCAGCTTAAACTATAACCCTTGAAAATCTGACAGTTTGCAGATATTTCGGATGAAACAAATGCTGTAAACAGGGAAAAATAAAATTCCAAAAAATCAGAAGAGCAGTTTAAACTTTCTCTGTCCGTTCATTTTGATTTCAGCAATGATGATGCATCTGTAAAGTGATTGTCATTGTTTACACTGATAGTTGATCTAGTAGACTTAGATCTTTTCCAATTTGAATTATATATTTTAAATGTTAGTGGGTTTTTCTATTTTTTCAACCATGCAGAGAGAGAAAAAAGTTTTCTGTTTGCTGGCTCTGGAGGTCTCTGGTCACCCTTACACTTTAGTGGAGCTGCAGTTTGTTATGAGGCTGTCAGAAGGCAGAGTTTCCTCACCTAAAAAATTTTCAATGCCACTCTGTCTCAAAATATCACTGCTTCAAAATGCAATATGCAGTACTTGATTTTTTCAAGTTGCAAGAGCCTCCTGTTGTTTTGGCTATATAGCAGTCGAACTTTCATTTCAATTTATAGTCCTAAAAAGGAAAAATATGTCCCATTGTATATAGCACATTATGCTTTGCCTATTTGACCTGACTGCCCCTTTGGAAAGGGTCAGTACACTATATGCACCACCCAGATATCAGATCCCAGCAGGTAAGGCTGCATCTTATCAGTGCAACAAACCGATGATCTAATTGTTAGTTTAAAATGTAATTGTTTTCCCTTTCTTTCTGCAGTCCCCAACCCAGCTGTCCTTTTGACATTTTGAAAAGTGCTCAATTAACACCCCAGAACAAGGAAGGCAAAAACTGGGGCAGCTATTCCATCAAGGTTTTCTGGTTGTTGACTAGCAGTCATGCACTCTCCACATTATTACTCTTCACTGGAGCACCAGAATTTGAGTCCTGCTATTCTCAGAGTGATCATAAAAGTTAAAGATTTCATAAAAGTACTCAAACTTTTCAATTTAGTTGCCTTTTTGACCCAAGTTGACAGAAAGCACGGAGCAGTTTTCTGTACCTGGTATTGCCATTTATTACAAATGAATAAATTCTATCTACAGGTTAACATTTATGAAATGTCAATGTATAACTCTATTAATTAAAACTCTCCCTACACCCACACTGATAAATTCAGACAAGCACAAAGAAGGGCTGTCATAGGAAGAGGGATAGACTAGAAAGGCATGCCAATAGTCCAGAGGACTTACTGTGGTGATTCTTCTAGCTTGTCAGGCCCTGCTGCAGCTCAATCCCTCATCTGTACTTTAATTTGCCTGCAGGAGGTACAGAGCATCTGGTTCAAACTTATAAAGTCTCTGACCTTTTGGCTAAGAGCTACAGCTAACAACAACTGATGAAGGAAAATAAGTTGGCTTTTTTCAGGTTTGAAGTGTCCTTTACTGCAGAGAAAGAACAGCACCTTCCTTTCCAGAGGTTCAACATTCACACCCAGAAGTTGTTCTGCTGCCTGGGAGCCAGTCACACAGTTGTTGTAAAGCAGAAGGCTTTTGTCATCAACAATGGGCCACTGTTCCCCACATCAATCAGTTACTTATTGCAGCTTGAATCTTAATTTGGACACTCCCTTTGACTTCAGATGTCTGCAACTAAATTTCCCTCATTGCATGAAAAAACAGCAGATATAATGATTGTTGGCTTTCTGCTTTTATGAAAGAGCAGTGATCCATTCCACAGTCATTGACTTTTAAAATAGTCCTTTTTTTCCCATTTCGGGCCTCAATCAAAAATACAGAAAAAATAAAATGGACTGCCAAATAATGTTGAGCATCACCAGAGGGACACAAAGCCGTAAGAAAATGAAAGCGAACGTGACTTGTATATAATCTGTATCATCTAGACCATAGAACAGTACAGGCCCTTCGGCCCACGATGTTGTGCCGAACTTTTACCCTAAACCTAAGGTCTGTCTAACTTCCACCCCTACCTTGTACTAACATCCATATGCCTGTCTAATAGCTGCTTAAATGCCCCTAATGAGGCCGACTCCACTACCCTTTCCAGCAATGCATTCCACGCCCCTACCACTCTCTGAGTAAAGAAACTACCTCTGACGTCTCCCCTATATCTACCTCCACTCACTTTAAAACTATGCCTCCTTGTAATAGCTACCTCTGTCCTAGGAAAAAGTCTCTGGCTGTCCACTCTATCTATACCTCTGATCTTTTTGTACACCTCTATCAAGTCACCTCTCATCCTTCTTCGTTCTAAAGAGAAAAGCCCTAGCTCTCTCAACCTTTCCTCGAAAGACCTTCTCTCCCATTCCAGGCAACATCCTGGTAAATCTCCTCTGCACCTTTTCCAACGCTTCCACATCTTTCCTGTAATGAGGCGACCAGAACTGGACACAATACTCCAGACGTGGCCGAACCAGGCTTTTGTATAGCTGGAACATAACTTCACGGCTCTTGAACTCAATCCCTCTATTAATGAAAGCTAACACACCATGTGCCTTCTAAACAACTCTATCCACCTGGGTGGCAGCTTTCATGGAACTGTGGACATGAACCCCAAGATCCCTCTGCTCATCCACACTGCCAAGAATCTTTCCGTTAACTCTGTATTCTGCTTACAATTTGTCCTTCCAAAATGAATCACCTCACACTTTCAGGGTTAAACTCCATCTGCCACTTCTTAGCCCAGCTCTGCATCCTATCAATGTCCCTTTGTAACCTAGAACAGCCCTCCGCACTATCCACAACTCGACCCACCTTCGTATCATCCGTGAACTTACTAATCCACCCTTCCACTCCTAAATCCAAATCGTTTATAAGAATCACAAATAGAAGAGGACCCAGAACAGATCCTTGTGGTATACCACTCGTAACTGAGCACCATGTTGAATATTTTCCGTCCACTACCACCCTTTGTCTTCTAAGGGTCAGCCAATTCTGAATCCAATCTGCCACATTTCCCCCTATCCCATGCCTCCTTACTTTCTGCATGAGCCTATCATGGGGAACCTTATCAAACACCTTAAGTCCATGTATACCACATCCACTGCTCTACCTTCATCCATGTGTTTGGTCACCTCTTCAAAGAATTGTAACCATCTGTGTAACTATAACAGACAATACATCAAGGGTATTTGCTGAGTAGATGTTGAGATAGCTATGTTATTTTAAAACATATTGAGTGTCAATACGATTTGCAGACATAGACTATGTCTTGTATTAAAGACTGCACTTCCTGGTATGCAATGTAAATTTTTCCATGACTTTCCTTCTGTAAATTGATTTCTTTATTATCTCCTTGTATTCCATTTCTGACTATGTTAATCGTCATTTACCTTTGAACACTCTTATGACATTGTAAAAATAAGCTGTCAAAACCTCATTTCTCTATAGAAGTAAAAGTTGTTAGCTTAATTATCAGACAATAAAAAGCAATTAACTGTTGATTTCATTTTTTCTGACTGTATCCAAATATGACTATTTCAATACAAAAATTTGACTGACAATAAGATTGACCTCCAACGTAACACTGCCACTGTTAGAACAGCTTAGTGGGAAGTAAATCCAAGTAGCAGCTCAAACAAGTGTCCTAAATGATTTCAAAACAGACAGAAAAAATTTTCTTCTCAACAGAAATGAGTGCAGAAAGAAGAATATTTGGACTAGAAAATACAGAGTCCCAACAAAGGACTTTGTAAATTTACAATGCTTAGGGGATAGAATGAGGAATGAGACTCATGAGTGGATTTTTCAAAGACCCAGCACAAACATAGTGAGCAACATTTATGATTCCTGATTATAAATTTCCATTTAAAGCCTGCTTGCAATACATATAGTGTCAATTTTGATATTTTAAGTGTGGAGCTGGCATAATAACATATGGAAGCAATACAGATTTGCCTTTTAAAGACAATGACTCTTGAATGGCTCTATATTGGTAAATAGTGTAATGGATATGCCAGTAATTAGAAACTGCTTGGGAAACAACGTTAATGGCCCAACTTTTTCGGTAATAACATGAAATTGCACTCTAGAGATCTGGACAAAAAAATGGGCCAAGAGTAGTGCTCCTAATCAAGATGTAATTGATCTAGAAATTTGCAATATTATTATGAAAAAATGCATGTAAAATGAATTCTTAGAGACTTTGTACAGCCACCATTTTCGTATCAAACCAAAGGAAGAAAAGTACCACTAAATGTACTGTAGACATTTCTTATAACATTGATTAATAATAGGTAATGCAGTCAGCTATCATTTGATATTCATTTCATAATGGTAGACTAATTGATGACATGTTTAAACTGGGGAGGTAGAAATTACATATAATTGAGCCAATCCTCCACTTTTAATAACATATTTCTTCAATTGTTCCACTGTTCTTATATTAATACATCAAAAGATTTTTCAATTCCCAGTCTCAAATTGGAGTTTCAATTGCCTTCTACCAAAAAAGGTCAAGAGAAAATCAGGGTATCAAGTGAGAAACGTGAGATGTCTGTTCTGATTTTATTCTGCTGATGCTGTAAACTAACCTGATTAACTTTGACTCATAGGAGGAGATTCTTTAGAGTTCTGCACACCATGCTACCCTGGCTATTACTGTGCAAATAAAGGTCTCAGCCAGCCCAGTGGACTACGCTTTGCTGGATTCTACTGCCCTGGCAATCACAGTTCAGTCAATCCTAATGCTTTTTCCTGCCCAAGGGTAAGTGTTGCTATTTGACAATCAGCACGTATTGAAGCTGTTGCAGTTTCTGCATTAACCTTTTCACACCAATCAGACTGATGATAGCTTGTCAAACCCTATTGAAAATAATTGTAGTACCTGAGCTCCTTCTAAAATGAATCATGAATTTCAAGAGTTATGTCTTAAATTCACTTTGCAGAGAGTGTTGTATGTATGTGGAGAGTGCAGTCAAATGAGACGTACATTACATATCTCATTATTAACTACTACATTGATGTGTAATTCATAGGTGAAATTATTGAGTATTTGAGATGGTTTTTCAACACTTATAATGTACAAATCTTAATAGGTGAAAAAAATAAAATTTGGTGATGCTTTGATGTATACAATCAAAAGCAAAATACTTCAATTTTTTTTACAAAATCATAGAAACTTACAGAACAGAAGCAGAACTTTCAGCCCATTTTGTATGCACTGACTCTTCGAAAGAACAGTAATGCTTAATCCCACATCCCCGCATTTTCCCAAATGTAGCACTGAGAGAGCATTGCACTGTCAGAAGTGCCATCTTTCAGAAAAGATATTAAAGCAAGCTGCCACCTACCTGCTCAGGTGGATGTCACAGATTCCATGGCATTGTTTCAAAATGCAGGGGAGTTATTCTCATGTCAGCTGTTTGTGGGAGTTTGTGATCACTGTTGTATTTCCTACTTCACAATCAGTGACTACACTTCAAAAGTTACCTCATTGATGCTAAAGTGCTATAAGATGTTGAGTGGTCGTGTGAAGTGCTCCATAAATAGATTACTTCTTTATTAACTGTTTCTCATCCTCCAGTACATGTTTAACTCCCTTTTCAAATTATTTATGACATCAGTTTCCATCATCTTTTCAGGTAGCAATCCAGATCAGAATAACTCTGATTTGGGGTGAAAAAAAGCCTCCTCTCTCATCTACACCACCTTCTAATGGTTTTGAATTCATAACTTTCACTTATTGACCCACTCACCAGAGGGAGTAGCTTTTTTTTACTTCTGTCAAGAACTCTTTATCTGTTAGGCCACCTCTTACCCCTTCCTAACCCAAGAAGAATGGTGCTAACTTATCCAACCTCTCATCGTTAAAATTTCTTATCCCTGGTAACCACCTGATAAACCTCTTGTGTACCCTCTTTTGGCCTGTGTAAAGTCTTTGTACATTTCCCAAAGTGTAGAGCCCTGAATTCTGCACAATTCTCCTTCTGCAGTGCTTTATAAGGTTCTGACATATTCTCTTTGTTGTGTTCAATTCATCAATGGACCAAGCATTACCCATAATCCTTTTTCACTTGCATTTCAATATGCTTTGCATCTCTTAAGTATTTGAGTGTGTGGACTCCAAGCTACTTGAGCTTCTTAGTGCTTCAAAATTGTGCCAGTTGAGCATTTTTGTCATTTTTTAAAATCTATGTATAATTGCATTGAACTGAATTACTTTGTGCTCACTGTTAGTTAGATGGTCTCCTACTCCAAATTCCTGTTGCTGTGGTTCATTTCCCAGGAGCTAGTTCCTTGTTGGACTGGACAGATATTTTAGAAACGTTATGGAAATCAGTGGAAATATGAAAGATATAACTTTTTAAATTTGAAACATTATATTTGCATCCAATTAAGTTACAGTGCTACTACTGTAGGATACTTTAATACAACTTTGAAGTCAATTATGGTGCCTGTTCCCTTGTATCAATGGTTATACTGCTCATGAGTTTGCTTTACAGAATTTATTTTGTGGCCTTTTTCTTCTTTACATTGACACCAACCAATGAACAGTTTGGTATAATGAGTTATGTTTGTGGAATGATCATGGTTGATTAGCAAAAGACAATATGACAGTATATATTATGATTTTTCCATGCCCTGAATTGTGCTCTTGGTCTAATATTCTGTCCCCATCTAGAATTTCCAAATGATACACCAGTGTGAATACTTTAATTTTATTTTCTCTGCCCAGGGATATTTTTGCTCTGAAGGCTCAGGATCTCCCATTCCATGTCCAGCTGGAAAATAACAAGCAAATATGCGTTCTGATGAGTGTATCCCCTGTCAGGCTGGATTTTACTGTAAGGAAGTTGCGACAGTCGACCAGATACCATGCCCACCCCACTTTTACTGCCCAGATGGTTAGTAAATTCAGTGCTATTTTACAAAACTGTATCAAGTTTTAGTTTTGAAGCAAAATGTATCAAGTTTACATTTTGACTGTGCATTTTGCAGAGGTGGATTTCTCTAATTGTATTCTAAAGATAAATTTCACTGTGAATGCTGTCAAGAGTTGCTTGTAACTTGAACTGCACTGAGGTCATGGCCACTAGAAAGATCTATCTTTGTCATGGTTGTCAGTCAGACAATTCTTCAGCTTATAGTGGGGATTCATATTTCTGTTCATTATTGTTAAAATCAAACTGTAGAGTATGATATCCTGAGATCATGTGGGGGTAACTTTACAGGAAAAACAATTCCATTGATAAGATCCTATGCTGAGGTCATAATTCAATCTCTGTTCTCACCAACAATGGATAAAAATCAAATGCAAAATCACCCTCAAAATAAGGCATCCGAAATTGTTAAGTCATTTTCTAGGTATATGCAGGCAGATTAAACTAGATGTTTCATAGAATTTTGGATATGTTACCTAATGAAATAATGAATAGCTTTAAAATACTGTAAAGGAAGCCTGTTCTCTGGCATCCATTTTTCTCCGTACATATGAATTGAACACATTTCAACTGGAGGTCTGAATGCTATGCACTAATGCTCATTTAGTTTCGCACAAGCTACAATCTGCCACTGGATCTAGGGTAGAATAAATTGTGAAAAATCACTGGACATTTCAAATTTCAATTTTATTTTAAATTTTCAATATAAGCTCAGGATTCTATCAACTTTTTATTAATATTAAAAATGTGCAAACTCTGCTGTTTTCTGAATATAGAAAAACCCTACATCATCATCATAGCTCACTAAAGCAGATACTGTCATGAGAAGTGGAATGGAATTTACCGCTTAGAGCAAAATGTTCTCTGTAGATTAATGGTAAAACTCTGGTGGTTGATTCAGATAGTTGTGGATTGAAGTTCCAGTGCAAGATTTGAGTTCCTACATTCTTGAGTGCTTTGCTGCTAAAAGTACCATCTTTTGGATGAGATGTTAAATGTAAGCCCCATCTGCCCTCTTTGGTCAAGGTTAAAGTTCCATTTTCACGATTTGAAGAAGACCAGGGGAATTTCCTTTGGTGTCCTGGCCAAGGTTTATCCTTCTTCAAAGCTTCTAGGCATGCATTAACTGGCTATTATCTAATGGCTGGTTACAGGGCCTTACTGTGTGTCAATTGAGTTCCCCATCTTCCTTTTAAAAGTGGCTGCACTTCAAAAATAAATCTCTGTATTAAACAAATAATTATTCACTTTATTACACCTATCCAAACTATTGTTTCCAGTTACCTCCTTCAAAGCTGTAATGAGATGAGAAAAATTATCATTTTGTTTATTGACTGACTGTATCTTCACCTATATCTACTGAGGTGTGTAACAATTTTTTTCAGGTACCCAGATTCCTATTCCCTGTCCCAGTGGAACATTCACATCAGGACAAACATCAGGATTAAAGGAGGAAAAGGAATGCTTACCATGTCCCACTGGCAAGTACTGCAGGTTAGCCAAGGCAGATTTCCCTTGTCAATTGCAAGTTTATAACTGTTCTATTGATATCTGTTTTTCAAGGTAATTGGAAACTACTACTGCTTTTTACAGGGATCAAGTGTTTTATGCTTTCAGTAGCCAGATTAATGTAAAAGCAGTCATCAACTGTTCAATCTCTCATCCTTCCATTTCAGTGTCAAATGAAGATCCATTTCTCAACCCCTAGCACCACAAGTCTTTGATGCGTATTAATTTATCACAGAAAATAGGAAATGCCTCAAGGAAACACAGTCAGCCCCCATACAGGCTGTCCTTCTGGACCAGAATACAATTGGTAGACATTATTAGGGATTCAGTGTGCTCATTCTCTCATTGACTTTGTTGTAAATCAGTTCTGGTCTCCCTGCTATGGGAGAGATGTGGAAAGGGTTCAGGAAAGATTTACAGAGATGTTGCCGGGATTGGAGAGTTTATGCTATAGGGAGAGGCTGAATAGTTTGGGGCTGTTTACCCTTGAGCATTGGAGGCTGAGGGTTGACCTTTTTAGAGGTTTATAAAATCATGAAAGTCACAGATAGAGTGAATAGTCAAGGTCTTTTTCCTAGCGTAGGGGAATCCAAAACTAGAGGGCATAGGTTTAAGATGAGAGAGGAAAGATTTAAAAGGGACCTGAGAAGCAACATTTTCACACAGAGGATTGTTCATGTTTGGAACGAGCTGCCAGAGGACGTGGTGGGGATAGGTACAATTACAGCTTTAAAAGGAATCTGGATGCGTGCATGAATAAGAAGGGTTTAGAGGGACATGAGCTAAATGCTGGCAAATGGGATTTGATCATTTTTGGTTATGTGGTCGGCATGGACGAGTTGGACTCCAGGGTCTGTTTCCATGCTGTATTACTGTATGATTCTATAAAAGAAGAGAACTGTGGACTGTAGGCATTTCAGCCAGAAATCTAAGTGGTTAATTAAGATACAAAAACTCCCCACAAATACTACAGAAACAAGGCTCTAGGAAGAGAGAAGAACTGAAACAAATCTGTATTACAAGATAGAACTTGTGCTGAAGAAGTTAATGGTACTGAAAGTTGATAAAAGCCCTGATCTACATCCCAAGTGTTGAAAATGGTTGCTGTTGAAATACTGGGTACATTATTGGTGGCTGTCTTCAGAATTCTATTGACTCCTGAACAGTTCCTGGATTGGAAGATAGTATAATCCCACTATTGGAGAAAAAATGGAAAGAGAAAATGAAAAACTTAGAGACCAGTATGAGCAAAATGCGTGAATCTATCCTAAAAGGATATGATAGCTGAACACTCAGAAAAGAATGGTAGAATTAGGGAGAGTCAACATTAATTTATGAAAGGGAAACCATATTTGGCAAACCTCTGTTAGAACGTTTTGAAGACATCATTGAAAGACGGTGTATTAGCATTTTCAGAAGATTTTTGATTGGAATCAACAAAAGAGATTAGTAAACTGAATTAGATTACATGGGTAATATACTGGCACAGCTGGAGAACTGGTTTGGCACGCTTTGATGATAGAAGTGCAGCAAGAGTCAGTGCTTGGTCACCAATTATTGACAATCCATGTCACTTATCTGGATACGCAGACCACATGCAAGACTTCCAACTTTGCTTGATGATACAAGTTAGGTGGGAAGGTGAGTTGTGAGGAAGAAGATTCAAAGCAATTTAGTTAAGCTAAATGAATGGGCAAATCAAATGTAATGTGGAAAATGTGAGGTCATTTTGGTAGGAAAAAAAAAAGAGTAAATTATGAGATATAATGACGTCTTGGTGTTCAGAGAAATCTGGGTATCCTAGTTCTTAAGCCATTGAAAGCTAACATATAGATGCAGCAAGCAATTAGAGAGACAAGTAGTATGTTGGCCTTTATTGCAAGATTTGAGTACATGAGTAAATAAGTCTTGGCGCAGTTATGTGGACCCTTAATGAGACAGCACTTCTTTGTGTTTGTGGACTCTTTGCCTAAAGAAGGATATACTTGCCATAGAGGGAGTCGAAAAAAATGTTCACCAGACTTATTTCTGGGATGGCAGGATTGTCTAATGGGAAGAGATTGAGGGCCTGTATTCTGAAGAATTTAGAAAAATGAGAGGTGATTTCAGAGAGATATTCACAGTTCTCAGAGATCTCAGCAGGTTGCAAAAAAAGGTTGGTTCCAATCCAATTACCCCCCAGCTAGAATTTATAGAAGCAGGGGTCAAAGACTCAAAATAAAGGGCAGGCCATTTTATTGAGATGAGAAAGAATTGTTACAGTCGGATACTGGTGAATCTTTGGAATTCTGTACCCTTTAGAGTCTTGGAGGCTCAGTTGTTGAGTATGTTCAAGTCATGGATCAAGATATTAAGGGATGGGGTGAGAGGCTTGCTTGTCATTTACCTGAGGTTACATGATTTCTTTGAAAATTTGTGTTTAGCTTTTCAAAATGACTTTCTGCTCATTTTGAAACAAACAAGTCAGACCTTCCTTGAACTGAAACATAAAATCCATTCTTCCTCCACTGAGATTTAAAGTTTCAAAATAATAACAAAATATCATGAGCTTTTATCTCAACTATATATTATGACAAATATTAAGCAATCATTACAATTTTATTACAAATAAATTAGTGCATTATTGCATTGTAGACATTAAAGTTTGCTGGGTTAGCCAAAATTAAATTAGACTGTAATGAGCAGAAAAATGAATCCTGGTGGGGACGACCTAATGGTTAGAAAGGTTGCATGTTTTTAAAGGGTTAGGCTGAAGGTGTGTGTTTTTGGATTGAGGCATTGTAACTCAAGCAGTAATGGACTTCACTGTCATAGTAATTCTGGAAAAAAAACTGAAGTTTTGCTTATAACAGACACAGTGAATCAGATGTGGTAATGTGTACTATTATCATCTGAAGTTGTGATTGTCATGGAATTGCGCTGTGTAAATATTACACAGTTGATTGGATGACATATAAGTGGTGAATAGTGAGCGCAGCTAAATTTTATGTGAAAGTTCTGTAAACGAAAAAGATAAGCACTTTTCCAGGGAGGCACAAGCAAGTCTTATGAGTTAATTGATCAAACCAACATGCAAAATACATCACATTTGTCAAACTGATCACTTTCTGGAGATCGGATAGTGTCAAGTGTTTAAAATATAAATCTTCCTTGTATGTAAAGAAATTAAAACAGGATTGCCTCACAGGAATAATTTAGCTAGCTCAGGCAGTGGTCAATTGATCTATGAATGGAAGTTAAGATGAATGGGCTGATCAACTGTTTTTGTCTAATCTTCATACATGTCCGTGTAAAAGGATTCACTTGTGATTGTAAGCATTGTATGGGTGAGACTTTTGCAGCACTTTTTGTAGCGTACTTTGCTTTAATAAAGAACATTGGGTATATTCTGTTGTTAGAAGTGCATTGTATTATTGATATCCAGAATAAATCCAATAGACCAGGGA